AATATATATATATGTATATATATATAAAATATATGTATATATATATAGAGAGAGAGAGAAGTGGCCAGGTGTGGGCTGCTGTCTTGGCTTTGCCAGTCTTCCCTCTGGCTAGGAGCTGTTTTCTGGCTCTGCTTTTGCAGACAGGGGGAGGGGGTGGCACAGGCTTCACAGCTGAGGAGGGGGCTACACAGAAAGTTGTGGCCGAGACTGAGAGAAAGGCCCGGGGCGAGAGGCAGCTGCTGAAGGGAGAGAAAGTTTGAGTAAAGGACAGAGATGTCTTAGCGGGCTTGGGAAGGGAGGGCTGCTCCCTCTGATGGGAGCCCCACAAGCTTCACCCCACTCTTCCGTCCCATCCCTGCGTTTGTACTTACGGCTTTCGGAGACTGACAGCGCTGAGCCTGGCAGGGCGTTGAGCCTGTAAGGGGGACTTCCATTGTTGTTGTTATTTATTTTTATTTGAAAGGCAGATAGACAGAGAGAGCGAGATCTTCTATCCACTGGTTCGCTCTCCAAATTCTCCACACCATCAAGGCTGGCCCAGGCTAAAGCCAGGCGCCTAGAACTCTATCGGAATCGCGCGTGTGGATGGCAGGGATGCGACGGAGGGAGCCATCACCCGCCGCCTCCCCGGTGCACGTTAGCAGGAAGCTGGAATTTGACGTGGAAAAGCTGGCCGAGGACCAGGCGCTCTGAAATGGGATGCAGGCGTCCCAGGCGGCATCTTAACCCCCCACCAAGTGCTTGCTCTGGCAGTTTTGTAACCAGCTGTTCAGAGTGAAATGGGCTGTCTTAAGAGAATTTCCCAAGAGCCTTTCACGCAGAGTTCGGGCAGTCTCTTGGCAGGAAAACCACGCAGGGAGCGCAAGCGTCTGATGAAGGCAGAATTGCCTTTCAAGTGCCTTTGACCATGGAGGGCTCTGAGTCACCGGCACTTGTTCCTCTGCCTCTTTCATGCAACAGGCGTCACGCAGCTGCTGACTTGGGCAGAAAATGCACCTTTGTGAATGCGCCTGGCTGGAGGGAGAGAGGGGAGAAGAGAGGCCATCTGATTGCTTCCAGGTGGACTGGCTTCCCTTTCTTGTACTTAGGGGCTTTGTAGAGACCTGCTGGCATCGTGAAACACACAGAAGGGGACTTTAAGGGGCTGGCGTTGTGGTGCAGTGGATTAAGCTGTTGCTTGCGACCACGGCTTCCCATGTGGGAGTTCAGAGTCCCGGCTGTTCCACTTCTTCTGCACCTCCCTGGTAATGTACTTGGGAAGGCAGCAGGGGATGGCAGGTGCTGGGGCCCCTGTAACCCATGTGGGAGACTTGAATAGAATTCCTGCTCCTGCCTTCAGCCTGGCCCAGCCCTGGCTGTTGCTGCTGTTTGGAGAGTGACCAGCAGATGGAAGATTTCTCTCTCTGTCTCTGTCTCTCTCTTTCTCTCTCTCTAATTCTTTCAAATGAGTAAACCTTTTTTTTTTTTTAAGTAGTGCTAAGATTTTTAAAAAGATTTATTTATTTATTTTGAAAGTCAGAGTTACAGAGAGAGAGAGGCAGAGAGAGAGAAAGAGAGAGAGAGAGAGAATCTTTTATCTACTGGTTCACTCCCCAGATAGCCGCACCAGATGGGGCTGGACCAGGCCAAAGCCAGGAGCCAGGAGCTTCTTCCAGGTCTCACATGAGCGGTAGGGACCCAAGTATTTGGGCCATCTTTCGCTGTTTTTTCCAGACCATCAACAGGGAGGTGGATCAGAAGCGAAGCAGCTGGGACATGAACTTGTGTCCACACGAGATGCTAGAATCACAGGCAGTGGCTTTACCTGCTACACAGTGACGCCAGCACCTCAAATAAGTCAATCTCTTTAAAAAAAAAAAAAAACACAGAAAGAGAAATAAATAAAAAGAAGAGAAAATTTGTAGAAAATGGAACTGAAGAAGTTTATTTTGGTGACAAATAATTAAATCAATGCATAAGAGGAGTCTTTTAAAAGTTCATGAAAAATGCATATTATGAAAAAGCTATACATGGATTCCAAAAATTTTTTGCACTGAAATAAACTTATTGTTGAATTCCATTTTTCCACAAACTATTTGAAGTACCCTCATAAATGCTGGCCAGAGAAGGCACATTCATCATTAACTCTTTCCTACCTTCGTCCACATAAAGATAGCCCAAGGTCCTGTTAAGCCGAGAGAAATGATTGCAAGTTGGGGCACTGGAGTAGGCGTTTCCCAGGGGGGCAGCAGCGGAGGAGGTGGGTGGGGTCCTCCAGCTGGCTCCTGGGTGTTCGTTTCAAAAGCAGCAGAAGCCTGGGGGCCTCTGAGACCAGGTGCCTTTGTGGTTTTCCAGGTCCCAGCCTAGGGAGGTTTGCAAGCCCCTAAACAGCTCTGCCACAGCAGGCAGAGGCCACCAGGGGGAGTAAGGCGACTCTGAGGACTCAGGAAGAACCAGACTCACATAAGCGAGAAACTCTCCCAACCTCCTTTGACACCCGTGACGTGGGCTTCCCCACCCATGAAGCAAGCAAAGCTGCAGCAGAGGACAGCAGCGGGGTGGTCCCGCGTTCTATCCATTCTGGCACAGTCTACCTGGGCCCTGCAGCTTGAGGGCTTGGTACCAGAACTGAGCTAGGACCAGGCTGACCTGGACGCTGGACAGGCCACACACAGAGAAGAGAGGTGATGGAGGCAGACAATACCTTTGTTAGAGGGGCCTCCAGGTCCCAAACATGCTCTCTCCTGTTCACACTTCTCTTAAAGGAGAAAGGGTAGTCATGGGGGCTCAGGGAAGACAGTGCATCCTGAAATTTCTAGGCAAACTCTTACGTCCCCAGACCAGCCACAGGATACATCATAAGACACAGGTAGGAGGTGGCTAGCTTTTGTTAGTGCAAATGTGCAAAAAGGAATGGGAGATGCACTTGTTACGGTCACAGACTCTGCTCTACAAGGCCACCCCACCTCCCAGCAGCAGGTCTGGGTGTTGAGACATTCTGCCAAAACTTGGGCATCCCTGACCCCCTCCTTGGGTGTGATTAATTTGCCAGGGTGGCTTATAGCCCTCAGGGAAATGCACGTCTCAGCGTATTATCAAGGACATCAGAGCACACAGGGGCAGAGATGCAGAGGGCAGGGTGTGGGGAAAAGATACGAGAATGCCACCCTCCTGGATCTTCCACTATTCGGTGGCCCAAGCCGATCTGGAGCCAGGAGCCAGGAGCTTCTTCCAGATCTCCCACATGGGTGCAGGGGCCCAAGGACTTGGACCATCTTTTGCTGCTTTCCCAGGTGCATTTGCAGAGACCTGGAGTGGAAGTGGAGTAGCTGGGGCTTGAACTCATGCCCATAGGGGATGCTGGCATCACAGGTGGCAGCTTTACCCACTACACCACAGCACCAGTCCCACTCACTGTCTTCTAAAGGCATCTAGTGGGACTACTACACGTCTGCTTACATTCCACTGGCCTCAGACAGTCCCCTGGCCCACCCAACATTAGCAGGTGCACGGTGGCCATGCAGTGCGTCCAGCTACAGCCTCCGGCTATGAACACACTTCAGAAAGTTTGTGGAAAATGGAATGAAAAGATGAGGTATTTTTTTCTTGGCACAAAAGGATTCGAAATCTGTGTATGGTATTTCCAAAATGCCAGTGAGCATCTTTGGTGATGACCACATTTGGCAAACTGAGACCAGTTCATACTGCATGAGCCATGCCCAAAATGCTAATAATGGTCAGAAGGGAAGGGAATGGTGGCTGTTAGGGCAAGAAGTTTAGGGGCGGAGGTCAGGGGCAAGGGGTTCAAATCAGACTCTCCTCTCCTTCGTTTTTTATGCCTCCTCTGCATCTCGTGCCAATGGCAGCCCTGCTCCCTGGCTGGTCTCCATTATACTTGGGCACAAAGGCCCCCCTGAGAATGAAAGTGCATTTTGGAGCTCAAAGTGAGAAAGCAGATGTAGGAACAGTGCCCCCCTCCCCATGTGAAATGTGGAGAAACAAAGCTGTTGTCCTAAAAATGCTTTAAGCCAAACCTCCCAGGAAGTGGACCTCCTATCAAAGCCCAGAAAAAAAAGGGCACAGCCCAGCTGGGTAACACTGGGCTTGCGCCGTGGGGCCTGTCCTGGGCTTTCTGGCCCTTCCCCACTCTTAGGACTGAACGGAGGAAAAGTACAACCACTCACACTCATTGCCTGCCAGAGGCCTTGGGGAAAAAAGTCATTATTCTCCGACTTCTAGGTTGGGAATGGTTTCTGTCTGACACTTCTTTTTTTTTTTTTTTTTAGGATTTATTTATTTTTTATTTGAAAGTCAGAATTACACACAGAGAGAGGAGAGGCAGAGAGAGAAGTCTTCCATCCAATGGTTCACTCCCCAATTGGCCGCAAAGGCCGGAGCTGCACTGATCCAAAGCCAGGAGCCAAGAGCTTCTTCCAGGTCTCCCATGCGGGTACAGGGGCCCAAGGACTTGGGCCATCTTCTACTGCTATCCCAGGCCACAGCAGAGAGCTGGATCAGAAGAGAAGCAGCTGGGACTAGAACCGGCATCCATATGGGATGCCAGCACTTCAGGCCAGGGCATTAACCCGCTGAGCCACAGCGCCGGCCCCTTTTGTCTGCCACTTCTAACAGAGGGATGCTTCATGGAAATACAGGTTGTCCTCTTTTTCTTCTGTAGGCTGCAGGGCCAGCCAGTCCGCCTTAGCTGCTAGGATGTTAGACCGGAGCCCGCAGTAGAGTAGACATCTGGCATTGCAATCATATCCAGCCACAGGAAACACCATGGGGAGCATTTCTAAGTCCTGCCTTCAGCATGCTGCATGCCCTTTATGCCAGCCAAGTTCACTGCAGACTTCGGGTTTGTGAAGACTGTGTCTGTGCGTGGTGCCTGGGCTCCTCAGGACTTCATGGCCAGTGTGGGCCAGCCAGTGCCCCAGATGGTGATCGAGTGCAGAGGGTCCCGGGGGTCCTGATCTCAGGGCCATGGCTGCCCGTGACTCTTCCTCTCTGGTTCTCTGCAGGAGCTGGAGCGCCTGAACCAGGTGCTGGAGGCTGAGAAGCAGCAGTTTGAGGAGGTGGTGCAGGAGCTGCGGATGGAACAGGAGCAGATCAAGAGGTGCCAGTGGTGCCTGGGAGGGGTGCAGGGAGAGGTGTGTCCGAGTTAGGGCACCTGGAGCCCCCAGTCGGGAGAGGCTTCCACCCAGGAGTTACCACCAGATTGGGTCTATCTTTCCAGTGCTTGGGCTTTTGGGGTGCCCAGAAGAAGGGATAGGCTCCCTCCCCAACAAATGGGTCATTACTGCCCCCTAGAGCTTGTGGCGTGGGGGAGTGCAGACATCCTTCCCTCTGAGCGACAAACCCCTCGCACCTTCCTGGGGCCAGATGGGAGCAGGCTGGCGCAGGGGTGCCGTTCGCCAAGCCAACCCCTACTTCTCTGTTTTTCTTGCACAGTCTTTCACACCTTGTCATTTGCAAGCCTGCAACTGTACTTCAAAAAGTTCTTGGAAAATGGAATTAAAAGATGTTTTTTCCATTTCTCTATAACAAGCACTTTCCATGAACTTTTGAAGTCCCCTTGGGGCTACCTGTTATAATCATCTACTGAATTTGAACCTCTTGAAGATGGTGCCCAGTAATCAATATTTTTAAAAATGCATCCCAGGTGATTCTGAGGCAGTCTACCCAGGAATTCAATGAATATTGCGTTAGGTGGTATTGATGGTCATCACCATCACCACCATCATCACCATCACCACCATCATCACCATCACCATACCACCATCATTACCATCACCACCAGCATCACCATCATCACCATCATCATCACCACCATCATCACCACCACCATCATCACATTCATCACCATCACCACATCACTATCACCACCATCATCACCATTACCACCATCATCACCATCACCGCCATCACCACCATCATCATCACCACCATCATCACATTCATCACCATCACCACCATCATCACCATCACCACCATCATCACCATCACCA